ATAAGGCCAAGGACGAGCAGCTAAGTTTGTTTGGCATCTGGATTATAGGCCCTCGATTTGTTAGAGAAGTTTGCATTTTTATAATACTCTCCGTTTCACATTAGTTGCCGTTTATCGCTGTATTTGTGTGCAGCCAATCGTTTTTTCGTGCTCGAGGAAATAGTGCGGGTAGAATGTAGATTTTATATGGCCAGGCTGCAGATGTAACGCGGTAATACCACGACCAGCGTCATTCTGCAATGGCAACAAGCCAGCGTAAGCCCAACAAAGACCTGGCTCCCGAAGCGAAGCTAAGCATTGCTACCTTTCTCCTTGAACACTCTACTAACCTAAATGTACGATGCAGTTATATTCTTCAAGCTGCTGAGCAGTTTGACTGTAGTGATAGCTCTGTATCTCGTGTTTGGAGAGCTACAGTTAAGCATCGAAGAAACGGTAACGGGCTGCCACCATTCAAGGCCAAGCGGCAGGGAAAATTTGGTAGAAAGAAGCGCCTAGCTGACATACCAGAATAACTCATGGCTTTGCCGTGGCGAAAGCGACAGGCTATGCGCTCTATCGCCAAGGCCATACAAGTTTTCCCTGCTTCTGTGCACCGCTCAATTGTTACGGGGGAAATTGTACGCCGCAGAAACTCAATCAAGCCGCGCCTAACCGAAGCAAATAAGGCTTATCGGTACGTTCGAGTATGTGCGTTAATAGGCAATTGCCGCCACACACTAATCAATTGTGCTACTACACAGGTTAGAGTTTTGCTTATGGTTCGTGAACACAGAGACCTACGAATTCTATGATTTCAGCAATCGAATCTTCATCGACTAGAAATGGTTCTACATGACTGAGGCGGACAGGACGGTGTACATGGCACCGAGAGAGACGCCTTCTCATAGCACAGACCAGTCCAAGCGCTTCATCACAAAAGTGGTGTTCATGGCTGCGATTATGCGTCCGATTTACGCTAGAGATGGATCTCTAGTATTTGGTGGCAAGCTGGGCATGTGGCCCTTCATTGAACGCGTTCCGGCTCAAAAGACTCAAAACAGACCGGCCGACACGATTGTGACCAACCCCTTTAATGTTGGTCTCAAGAAGCAGCGCGATATGTTAATCGACAATGTCATTCCAGCTGTCAGAGCAAAGTGTTCATCCATGCTACAAGGGACCGAGCTGATCATCCAGCAAGATAGAGCTCGCTGTTATGTCAATCCCAATGCTCCAGCCATGTAGACAAGGAGGGTGGAAAATTAAGGTCGACGTGCAGCCGCCCAACAGTCCAGACCTCAACATCCTCGATTTGGGCCACTTCTGTTTGATCCAAACGAAGAGAGGCCACGCAACAACATTGACAAGCTTATACATTGCACTATGGAATCGTATCAACAACTACAGGACACGGCACTTGAGCCACATTCGTATCTATGCAGAAGGTGATGGAGTGTATCATCTAAGATCGAGGAAACAACAGCTACAAGCGCCTTCACGTCGGCAAGGCCAAACTTCGGAAAGCTGGCGTGTTAGGCAGAAACTATGTGTGTGAGTCAACGATCTACCTTGTAGGCACGACTTATCATTTTCTAATTATTCACGAGAGGTTCGAGAGAGAAGAACTACTGCGGTTGCAGGTAGAGGCGGTGAGAATACAATGTAATGTTTGAATGAATTCATTTTACCATATTTAAAAGTGGGTTTTGGGCACGTAGCTCAAATGGATAAGAGCACCACAATTTGTGCGGAAGGACGCGGGTTCGATTCCCGCCGTGTCCTTAACTTTTTAGCAAATAAATTCTAAGTTTTAGTTTAAGGCGATACCCTGGTTATGCTTGTAATTCGTAGTCGCCCCGTTCCTCTTGCTTTTTGTAAGGACTCTCGGTATTTTCCGCAATGTAGCGAGTGCCATGGGTCTATTCTGATGTTAACATGCGGATAAGATTCGCCATAATGCGCTCTTTATTTTGATGTGTTTACTGATTGAAGTCCCATCTTAAATATTTACAGCGCCGGGCAGAAGCGAAAATTGGTCAAGTAATCTGAAACGGAGAGAGTAAGGCTTCTAGTAAAAATAGGATTCTTTTACAAATGTAATTTCTTCTAAAAGCTAGGTCGACATCAACTTACATGTAAACAGGGGATTATTGTTTCTTTACTAGCATACTGCTACCAGCTCCTCGTGGGTCATCTCGACTGGGGTAATGTCAGGCCATCACCCTTGGATTACCCCAGATTTGGATTCCACAGTCAACTTCACTTCACTTCCCCCCCCCCCCCACCATTACCACCACGCAAGATGACCTCACCAACTGCTACTCAATGCCAGGAAGCTCTTCTTCTAGCTCAGAATACCCTGTTTCACGATCTAGCTTAGGGTCTGCTCACAACTAAGCGAGTTTCGAGTTGGGTGAATCATTTGCCGTTAGTTATGAGGAGAAGAATGAGCAGAAAATCGAGGGCAATGACAGAGGCCAGCATGATGACGAAGTCGGGGTACTAGAGGAAGACTACAACCGCTATGTACTTTCGTCGCTGTCACAGCGACGACAGTGGGAGGACAGGGTTGTACGACGGATATCGTATCCCGGCTCGTATGGAGGATCTTCGTTTCAAGACTTACCAAAGACACAACGAATTCTGATCGTTCATACGGCTCGTTTACCACGAACCTGTTCTGGTTGGTCGCGTGCTTTGAACGATCGATGCCATCGGCTTATACTGTGTCAAGTGTAACCAAAAGATCGCCACAAGTAAGATGGGTAGAAAACGCCTGCGTAGGGATACGTGCACATCGACTGACATGCGCTTGGCAGCACAGCATATGAGAAAATCTCACCCTACCGACCTTGCTGCTATGCTTGCGTCGCCCGAACCCGAACCGGAGGAACGTCCGATGAAGCGCATTAAGGTTGCTAAACCGTTGCCGAACAAGCAAAAAGATGTCGAGACGACGGAAGCCAAACTCGCAGCGTTGCATGAAATGTTTGTGGAGTTGATGCATGCCCAGACCAAGACGGCTGTCAAGACCTGTGGTGTGAACGCTAAGGATGCCGAGAGCGCTGTGACGGCTAAGACCTGTCTCTGGAATTGCTGTGTTGGAGTCGAAGGCTGTTGTCACTGACGCTGTAATGGGGCGGTCGCTGGGGAATGGCCTCGTTGTACACGATGGTGCGGTGTCTGCCGCGGCTGTAAGCGCCGAGCTGGCGTCCTGCGTCGTTACGTCGGAATCGGTTGTTGGTTTAAACTTGCAACGTTGTCCTGTTCCTGTTGTGACTGTGATCTACGATCCTCGTCGCTGCTTGAAGTGAGTGGTGGGGATTCAACCGTTGGTGCTGCATTTGGGACCGGATACGCTTTACCAGCTTGCATCAGGGCTTCGTGGATAAGTGGAAGCGAATTTTGTTGAATGCTTAGGTGGAAAACAGCGTGATTCTCGGTATTCACCGTAGGATAGGGAAAGCCAAGCTCACATAGTTTGGCGTGAACATCTTGTTCCAAAGCGTTAGCGTATTGTGCCTGCACAGCGAGGAAAAACGTGCCTCGCATCTCTCCTTTGGATCCGAGATGTGAGGATGAGCACTTGTGTTCCTTAAAGCGCTTTAGCGTGTCGCCAGTTTTGCCTCCATACATAACGAAGCGCGGACCGCAGTATTTGCATTCCGGATCGAAGGATGTTGTTGTGCCGCAATGGCCAACGTAAAACCGTTTACATCTGGTGAGGGATTGCCGTAATGTAGTCTTGGGTTCATCGCTCTGGCGCGTCGAATTTCCTCGTCACTATTCAGGGGCTTGAGCACCTCAAATAGACGCTCTTCGAGTACGTAGTGAGATAGCAGGAAGTAAACCATTGCATTCGGTCAGATTGCATGTCTCGGTAGATGGTAGCTGCCTCGGCCGGAGGTGTGGAGGTGCTAACGCCGAGCTTTTCACCTAAGAACAGATACTGAATAACATGTTGTAGGCTTTTCTCTCCACCGGAGAAACATCTCTCCAGCTCTCGCCACGAGACCCATAGAACACCGTCGTAGTACCGAATTCTCTCGAAGAGCTGTTCTTTTTCGGCAGATTACGAAGTGTTTGGGCATCCCTAGGGGTAGGGGGTGGACAGTGATTCCAGTTTTTCCTCCTTCTGAGCATCACTGCGAGGGGCAAGTTGACTTGATTAGCTCGGAGAGTTAGACTCGCTGGAGTTCCCCTCTTGAGTGGCGCGTGATCAGGTTTGGTATTGAGCCTGGCTCGTGGCATTCCCTGGTAGAGGCCTTGATCATACAACTTGCTGCATCCCGGATCATTCCTGGTCTTAGTTTTGTGTAGGCAGTAAAGCACCAACTGGACCATCGTCCCATCAGGCGAATGACCAGGTCACTCTTGCCCGCCGCTAGTAGGGCGCATGCTCCTCCGATGCGTAGGGAGTGCGTGGAATAGTCCTTTGGCTTCAGCCCCATATTAGCTGCTGCCGTCTTGATCAGCTTGCCCACGCGGGCTTTCTTCACTGTTCTTGTCCTTGACGTGGATGTGAGGTACGGTCCGATGTCCTTTCCTTCATATAACCATTGCGCTCGAATCCGTAGGCACCGTTGGCTTGCTGTCACCGGACATAGGATGGGGTGATGCGACCTGTAGTGGCGTACGGTTACACCTTGCGCATCACAATCTCCCTTGTGGGATTCAAACACGAATTCCACCGATGCGGCGTTCGGGTCCTCAGGTCCGACCTGGGCACCATTCTTGTCGCGTAAGATCACATTATCAGCTTTCACACAGTGTGCTCTTTCCGTTCCGGTTGATCGATCCACGGCCACCGGGCCCCATAGCTCTGAGCTTCTGTCTAGGAAGAAGAACGCCAGTACGATGGACCCCCATAGCAGCTCGCCTTCTAATTTGGCCTTGCTAGGAGCTCGTGCATCTTGAGCAGCATTGGTGTAGTAACTGGCTGCTATCGGTCCACTTGACTGTGGCATCGCTTGAATCCTTGAGCGACGAGCTCAATTTCCGGATCACAGTAATCGAGCTTGGCGTTCCGAACGGCCTTATGCGCGAATGCCACTGCTGCCATCTTTCCATCGAAGGTCTGGTACTTGTTTCCTTTGGCGGCTTTGTTGTGTCCCTCTGAGGCACACAAGGCTGCGAACAGTCCGACCATCCGAGCCTGTCTTGCCCTGGGCAAGTTGTCGATCCACACCGGAAATCCGAAGTCGTTGCAGAATGACTCCCAGAACTTGAAGTTCTTACTGTATTGACCCAGGGTCCCTGCCTTGACCGATGCCTGCTTGAGGTGACATCGTTTTTCTTCGATCCTTTGGTGTCTATCTGTATCTGGACCATATCACGTGAGTTAGTCGCCGAATGAATATCGCACCTCGGTGTCTGCTCCATCCTTCTTGACAATGTGTATGTGGTAAAATGCAGACGATATTGAGCCTGGCTATAGGCGCACTGCCGTAGATCCTGCTGTCCGTCCGGCGACTTACAATTCATCTTATCAATCAGCTCGGTGACCCAATGACTGCTATGGATGATGATATGGCACCAGGTGCCCGCTGAAGTCAACTTAGGCCCCCACTCGTTCGTAGCCCTGTCGAGAGCTTGGGCAACATGTGATGCACTCTTCCGGAATGCTCCAGTCGATGCCGACGACGTGAAAGGTGCGCGACCAGGTCGTGAACTTGCCTTCGTGCCAGCCGTCAGAGCCGAATACTAGTTTGGCGCTGTCTCTGAGATGTTTCTCTGCCTACCTCAGTCGGTCACTAATGTCGACTTCAATGAGGACAAGGTCGTCTACCCACTGGAAGGCCCAGAAAGGCTCCATGTGGCCCAACAGGAAAGATCCGCCGGTGTGCTGGTAATGTCGAACTGCTTTTCCGAAGACGGCGAAGAACCCGGGAAATGATGTCCACCCGAAAACCGCCATCCCGGACACAATGCCATGCTCAGAGCGCGGCAATTGACCCCCAAAAAATCGAAGCATGCCGAGCGGGGGTAGGAACGTGATGGAAGGCATCGGCGATATCCGCGATCATAGCATAAATAGTGTATCCAGGGTACCGGCGGCGAAATTCGAGCACACGGCGAGCAATAGAAACAAACTGGTTCCAGGTCGCATCCGGCGAAGCAGTGGAATCGGTCTGGTCGTTGACAGACTGTCCGTCTGGCGCTGACAAGTCGTGAATGATTCGTCCATCCAAATGAATAGGTTTGTCCTTTTTGGGCACGAGAGCAAACGAGCTGGAATGGAACTGCGGGTCGCGAGTTAGAGTAGCCATCGCCGCGATGATGCAGCGGCCGTGGTAATAGTCAGCCAAACAGCTTGTCCGTGACGATAGAGACACCGGTGTCAGCACCGGGGTAATTAACGGGAACTGGGCGAACGCCTCGTCGTCTGGACGGGTCCAGCCATGGTGGGAGCAGACCCTCCTGGGCAATAGTACATAGGAGCTCGAGATCAGAGTACGATGCCAGATACGTACGGTAAAGCCATGATCGGAGCGCTTTATTCGGACGATAGTCAATAGCGGTCTGACCGCGGAACTACTCGAGAGTGCCAGAGATACCCAAACCTCGGTGGGTGACCAGCGCGTCCAGGATGCGGAGGTCCACCATAGGAACTGAGCGCGGGCCCGGCCCTGCCGCTAAGAAAGCGGTCTCCATCGGAAACGGGGTATGTGTGCGTAGGGCAGCCTTTCTGAGGGCGTCGAGCACGTTTCGCGGAACACAGCGGTCCCGCCCAAAGACACGGCACGACCGAGTTGGGGGGGGGGGGGGGGCGGGGGGTCGAAGGGGGAAGGGAGCACGCGGACCGTGGTAACGGTAACGCTTGGGACTGTGTGTGCCGATAAACCAATACCAGGCACTGATGGTCGGAAGTGAGCTTCGCTCCGGACAGTGTTAGCGCCACCAGGTGGTACGTGGCCATTAGGAAGGGTGGCGTCAGACGCCGTAGTGGAAAGTCGAAGAGTGTCAGACACTTGACGGCGTGAATGAGCCGTAGAACTCACGGGATGATAGAAAACTACGGATGTCGTATTAGGGAGCAGCGACGTGTCAGACACTTGACGGCGTGAATGAGCCGTAGAACTCACGGGAGGATAGAAAACTACGGATGCCGTATTAGGGAGCAGCGAGGATCCTGGATCCTCCCCAAGCCCGTCACTCGCGCTGGGGATGTTCGGACTTGAGGCCGCCGTGCAGCCCGGTCAGCCACGCGACCACTTCATCCGGAAGGCGGTGGATCTCGTGCCGTTGTTTGCACTTTGCGAAGCTGCAGCCCTTGACCGACTGGAAGCGGACGCACACCTGCGTGCCGTCGATGACGGGAATCTGATTCCGGATGTTCTGCGGTATCATAATACCTGCGCGACCTCCACTAGTGCCGGCAGGGCGAGACGCACGGCGACTACGGCCCTGCTGGTTGGAGATCTGAGCTCGAGAAGAGGCGGAGGATCGGGGAACCGGGGTTGAGAGACGGAGTGAAGGACAGCGTCGTTTAGAACGCGAGCCACTGTGGTGAAGCGCCAGTTGGCTTTTGCGAATAAGAAAACTGATTGATGGGAAGTGACCCGATCAAGTCCTGAGACTCATGGTCGACGACGGTGCGTCAGTGATTACGTCATCATCGGTGAGGATTACGCAATCATCGGAGTGGATCGACATGGTGCAATCATTTGGATACACGATCGACCGACAAGGACACGATCTACTGATGACACATCATCTGATTTGTACACAAGTAAGATGGGTAGAAAACGCCTGCGTAGGGATA